AGAAATAAACAAGTAACGGCCGCCAAAAGAAGTTTTCAATACCGTACGAATGAATGACGGTAGAAGTACACGCACAGAAGGTAAAAGGAGAAAAAAAAAGAAATCAAACAGGCAAACACACATCAGGAGAAGAACAAAATAGTGTGTTACCAAAGGCAGAATAGAAAAAAAAGAGAAAAAGTGCAACAGAAGCAAAGAGAAGGAATTAAAACACGATTATGCAAACTCATGATAGATTCTAAGAATGCCTTATAAATCTTATCAACAGCTAGATCAATTCTACTTACAGGTAGTCAGTAATTTAACTTGTCTTTGACTATAGTGGATGTGTATACTCTCATTAATCAGGGTAGGTGTGAGTGTTGGTGTCAGTGTCGCTGTATTGGTGAGAGAATAGCTACACCTACACCCACACCCTCTTTCTTCTTTTCTCTTCATCTATTTATTACAGGTAACGTTCGCTATATATATGATAGAAGAAAATCGTTGACTACTAGTTCATCTCTCTGACTGTTTACTTACGTTTTCCTTAAGACGAAAGGAAGATGATCCAATTTGGGAAAGAGATTTTCTCTTTCAAAGTCAATTTTCAAAATAAACAGAAAATAATTGAAATAAATAAGAATCAAATAATATTTTCTAGATTTTTTTCTTATTGATCAATAATATTTTATATAGTCTGTCAAATTCTTGTTTAACTTTATTTTAAAAGCTAAGCAAAAGAGAAGTCAATACAAAACAAAAGAAATATATTGAATAAGTTTATTAACTATTTAATTTATAATTCTTTACGACAAAATGGACATATTAATATCATCGTTCGACATGCATTACATATTGAATGTCTTCTATCGTTATGTAATGATATTAATTCTTTTTTATTTTCAAAACAAATAGGACATTCAATATTTTCATTGAGATTTCTGTTTAATTGTTGACGATTACGTTCAATTAATTGACGTGCTACTTCAAATTTAACAAATTCAATGGGTTGAATCAAAACTGAATTATCATCATGATTCGATTGTTGTTTATTGTCTATTTGATTGTTTTGTCCCTTTTTGAATTTATTTCTTGATGGACGTTGAAAATTATTTGTTAATGAACAATTCAGATCATATAATAAACGACCTATATAATTTTTTGATGATGGAAATTGTAAATTGTTTTTAATATCATTAATATAATTTATATGAAATTTATCGACATAATAATTATATAATGGCGATGATACTTTCATAGCACGAATAACTAACAGATGAAATCGTCTTGGACCTAGTTGATGTGCATGATTTCGTTTACTAATATATTGTAATATATTTATATCTTCTTCTTGACCACGTAATGCACGACTTATAATTAATTTTGCTTCATCAATATGAGGACGTCTCAATATAATATCATTCATTTTTTCTACAATTGATTTATCAATAGTAAATAATGATTGTTCAATCATTGTTTTTTTTGTTGATGGTGATAATGCAGTTGATATTGCCTATTAATCAATGAAATCAAAAGTAACGTTTATAATAAAAGAAATATAAATTTTTCTATTTTATACCCTTTTGTAATAAAACAAATAATTGAAATATTAGTTTTTTTCTACAGAAAAACTCTTAGAATAATATTTACATTATATAGGATGTCTCTTAAGATATTAGCCAAAGAAAAATTTGAATATCTTAAACATGCATTGATCAAATGAATTGGTTTTGTTTACTGCTGATATGAGCTATTTCTCATCAATATTCGTCAGAATAATGTTAACAAAAACTGTTCCGAAGTATCATTACTGACTTCAATAAAGAAATATTATCTTATTAGAATTCTGAAAAAAAGAATCTCATTGAGAGTGTGTTCTAAAAATTACTGCGAGAAATAAATTTGAATAAGTTTAGCATATTCTAGACAAAATGGGCTAGTTCTTTTTTTAAAGTATAGAGGTATATTCTTGGTTAAATTGATGCCAG